TTTTTTTTTTTTTTTTTTGATCATTTGTAAACTGTTCTACCAGGAAGTTAAGGGAGTCATAGCCAGGTGCCTGCTGCCAGTGTGACACCACATCACCTCAGCACCTTGTCCTGTTTCAATTCACCATCCTCCCTTCTGGAAACACCTCTTCCATTRCTCATCATCTGCCAGATTAAAAACTATCTATGAGGGCCAATCTGTGAGTTGTTGGGTCCACTTGACCTGTAGTACTCATATTCCTTCCTTCATCGAAGTGTGTCAAGTTCAAACACAAGTGCAATCTATTAATGAACTCATTTCCCTAATATAACTTTGCGACAGAGTATTTATGTCCATGCAAAGCTCACTTTTCCACTGTAGAACTGAGTTTGGATAAGAGTCTCTCTCAGAGCAAACTCACCAGCCCTAGCTAATATTTAGAGGAAAAGCAGATTTTGACGCTACAATCTCAATTCTGCCCGGATGTGGTGCTTAGAATGACTTGCTGTGCTTTTCTGTTGCATTTCACAAACTCCTGGCTTCTGTTCCTTCTAAAACCATCATTATTWCTTAGGAAGAGGTCTTTGTAACAATAATGTACTGATAACTGCTGGAACTTGATTGTAGAGACCTCCTCTGTGAATTGTGGATAGCAGCTTCTATTCATTCTCCCCTCTTGTCTTTTCCAATGTCATGCAAGTAAAATGGATGTACTTCTCCTGYCTTGGGAGAAGGATATTTGTGGTTGATAACAAAAGAAGCAAATTCCAACATAATACAAGAAATGCTAGAAATGTCTACATGCAKTTTTATCTTGAATCTGAAGTTCAACCTACAAATTCTCTGCTGTTAATATTTAACTTACAGTAAACTTTTTCCCCGATGGGTTTGCTATGATAAAAACCAATAGATTCAAGTGCAAAGACAGACCATAATAATCTGTAATACATACAGATGTTTTTAGGGGATTGCACACGTTCATTTGTTATCACAATTATGCCTTGGGTTTGTTGGGGCAGACCTTTCTAGCTATGTTCTCAGTCACGAGTTTGAGGATGAATATGCAGAAAAAGGGATGACTTCTGCAGGATGGTTCAGTTGCCAAAATGCCTGCTCTGATTTCCAAAATGGAAGCACATCCCTTGCGGATATAAAGAAAGAAATTGAACCTAGAAATACTTTAAATTGTTGCAGAAGCAAATTGAAAGTCACCTTTTCTTGAGCTGTTCCTACTCACATGCTTTGGGTTTTAATCTCTTTTGTTAATATACTCTCATAAGAGCAATACAGAGAAAGAGTGAAACAGTAGAAACTTTTCTACTTTTCAGGCATGTAGTTAAGACTGGATGTATTCTGCAGAGAAAGCTTAGTTTGATGCTTTTACTTATCGAGTCACTTCTTCACTTGACTTCAGTCAGCGTGTCTGCCCATATCAAATGGTATGCTTTGATGTAAGGTTTTTTTGAAAAAATTACAGTTAAGTGACTCTGGAAATCTGTAGATTCCCTGCGTATCAGTCAGTCTGGGTTTGGATTTGGTGTCTTTGACTGCATGGGTGATGCCCTCTCACACTGAATTTGTATCTTCACAACTCTCCAGAAAGCTAAGATTGCTCAAAGTGGGGATAGCTGCTGGTTACGGGTACTTTGGCCCTGGAAGTAACTACATCAGTGCTGCTTAAGATGAAAATTACTTCTACAGCAGGACTGGAGAGAGAGAGAGAGAGAATTATCAGAGCATGTTTTGTAATTTAATAAGGAATGTTACACTTCCTACACTTGTTTTAAGCAAAGGACTTCCTGTCACAGAGCAGAAATTACAGTGGCCTAGCTCTGAATTTTGTTCTTTGTTCTTTCGCTTTCTTCTGTTCCCAGCTCCAGAAAGGGTCCGTGCAACAGCTCGGTGCCGAGTGACACCAGGAGGCCTGCAGATCTCATTGGTCAGGAAGTGATACTGGTTTTCTTCCTTCTGCTGCTTCTGGTTTGGTTTCTGAACCGAGAGTTTGAAGTCAGCTACCGCCTGCACTACCATGGAGATGTGGAGGCTGATCTTCACCGCACCAAAATTCAGAGCATGAGGGATCAAGCTGACTGGTTGCTGAGGAATATTATTCCCTATCACGTGGCTGAGCAGTTGAAGGTTTCCCAGAGCTATTCCAAAAACCACGATAGTGGCGGGGTGATYTTTGCGAGTATTGTGAACTTCAGTGAGTTCTACGAAGAGAACTACGAAGGAGGCAAAGAGTGCTACCGAGTCCTGAACGAATTGATTGGAGATTTCGATGAGCTGCTCAGCAAACCGCATTACAGCAGCATTGAGAAAATCAAAACAATTGGGGCTACCTACATGGCTGCTTCAGGACTGAACACCTCACAGTGTCAAGACAGCAACCATCCACATGGACATCTGCAGACCCTTTTTGAATTTGCCAAAGAAATGATGCAAGTGGTGGATGACTTCAACAACAACATGCTGTGGTTTAATTTTAAACTTAGGATTGGCTTTAACCACGGCCCCCTCACTGCTGGGGTCATTGGCACCACCAAGTTATTGTATGACATTTGGGGTGACACTGTGAACATTGCTAGCAGAATGGACACCACTGGCGTCGAGTGTCGCATACAGGTGAGTGAGGAGAGCTACCGCATCCTGAACAAGATGGGGTATGACTTTGATTACAGGGGGACAGTCAATGTCAAGGGGAAAGGTCAGATGAAGACCTACCTGTACCCCAAATGCATGGACAATGGGATTGTGCCCCATCACCAGTTGTCTATATCTCCAGACATTCGGGTTCAAGTGGATGGCAGCATTGGGCGATCTCCGACGGATGAGATTGCCAACCTGGTGCCTTCTGTACAGAATTCTGATAAGACAGCCCATGGCACAGATAACTTGGAAGCTAAGGACATCCTTCCTTCCTCCAAGAAGCTCCAGAAAGATGTGCTGAAAGCGGAAGAGAGGTGCAGGTTTGGCAAAGCTATAGAGAAGACTGACTTAGAGGAAGCAGGAACTGAGGAGGTCAATGAACTGACAAAGCTAAATATCTCTAAGAGTGTATGATGCACTGTCAGAGTTGCATGAAGTGCTCTGTCAATAGAAACACAAAGACATTAGCAATTGGCAGTTTTCTTTTTGAGGAGAGACCTTCTCAACACCTGGGTTGTACGTTTGTTTTCATTTCAGTGCCTGATGCTGTGTGGATCACAGTTCTTCAGGGCTTGTTTTCATCCATCTCTTTCCTCCATGCCCCAAATCCCATCCCAAGCTCCCCAGCTCCCTGTGCAACCATCTTTCAGCTGAGTAGAGGATATTAAGTGCCTTCAGATATACTCCATTGGACTCCCTGTCAAGGTACAGAGGCCCCAAGTGAAATCATAGCTTTGGGTATTTATCTAATTTTGAAGAAAAGAAAAGCTGTGGTTATATCATTTTTATTGTTCTTTCTCACAAAACACTTTTTTTGGCTAATGCAACTCCTTGGGTTTTTTATATCTATCTGAACAATATTTTACTGTTATCAGACCTTTTGTATGCAAACACACAGACAAATGTGCATGTTACCTACCATACAAGACTGACATAAAGTGCCAGTAATGTACCACAAAAGAATGTCTTGGCAAGGGCGGGGGGTGACACAATTTTCCTTCGTGTTGGGCTGGAGGAGGAGTTCTGCAGTGGCTTAACGTTTAGTTGGAGTTGGCTGAACAACTGCTGTGGTTTAATTCTCCTTCTACTGATGCTTTCCTCAAATTTCATGTGCCATGGTGTGCTTTGGATGCACTTGTTTTCCATATAGCCAATGAGTTCCTGATACGTGGGTATGGAATCAGGGTTCGGACTTCAGCAACTCTCAGGACAGGGATCCAGAAGCAGACAGGTGACCGTACGAGTGTTAAAATTCAGGTCTRAAGCGTCTAAAAGTTTCATTTTGCTCCACCCCCTAGCTGAATTTGAAAGGTAGGTGTGAAGGAAGGTGGCATCTGGAAAGCTGGTCTGATTTGAGAGGGAGAAAAGCTAAACAAATGTTTTGGGGATGCCTTTATTTATTTATTTATTTAAAGTCTATTTTTATGTGGGTTTTGTGGAAGGGATTAGGAGAGGTGAGCTGTTAATTGGCTTAATAAGAGTAATAAGAAGTCCAGTAGTGTTTCAGCCTCTTTGAACTACCAACCACTGTGAGGATGTTACCTAGGCAATATTTGTTTCCAAGCTGGAGAAACCAGCGAAGCCACCAGACGCCACTGAGGATCCCAGCTTCCCTCTGTACTGAATTAATGGTGCTGCACAATATTTTTCAGGATTTGCCCCCTGCACTGTGCTTTTTTGCAGCAGGGAAGAGGACAGCGTGTTCCCTGCGTGCCGCTGAAAGCAGGAATAGGGAAAGAGTCCTTCATTGTGAGCTGAGAAGCACAATAACTGCCCAGCCCTACAGGCGACTTTGAGCAGATCCCTGGGGCCGGGGATCTGCGGGAGCACAGGAAGCCCTTGGCACAGAGGTGGCTGCAGGATTTGGGGCCTTAGGCTAGCCCAGTCCTCCCCTTGCATGCTTCCATCCCTTGCATTTGATGCTCTACTTCAGATAATCATCATGATTCAGTTATTCCAGTTTAGCCAACACATGTGATGCCAAAAGAGAGATCTTTTGTACCCCAAATAAGTTCATTAGCCAGAGAAAAGCTGGTGAAATGCGATGCTGTATTGTCTGCGTATTGACATGTCTTCTGACTATTTCTTTCCATCTGAACTGAAAGCAGAATATATTGATACTTCTTTTTATTCCCAGTGTGATTTTTGTGGAGTTTGAGTAATAATAAATACATACATTGTGAAGTTCTGTTTAGCTCTGTGAGATCCATCTATGCTCCCTGGTGAGCACGGAGCTTTGAAGCCTTTGCCAAATGTTAGTCTGTGGGATATTTGGATCTCAGTTACATTAAATGAGGTTCTGAACACTGTTCTCAGAAAAGCTGCCGTTTATGCATCTTTAAATTAGCTTTGCCATGAAAGCTGTTTAAAATGAACCTTGCTCAATCTCCCAGCACACACAAAATCCTGGGTCCTTGGCCTTGCACCCTTTAGTCACAGATGCTGTAAACCTGCTTTGGGGCTGCTCCCGACGAGCAACAGGATAATGTTTTCCTTAATGCACAGTTCTGCAACAGCCTTCCTTGTCAGCAGATTTGAAATAGTCCCTTCCCCCTCGCCACCCCATTCTTAATGGGTTGCACTTCCAACTTTCAGGTAGTAAAACTCTGCAAATACCTCTTGCATCCAAAGAATGTATTCTTGAAACCCCTGTTCGGATTCTTGTTTCGGTTATGTCAGTGTGTGTCAGTATTTCTTTTCTTACAGTAAAGGAGTTAATGTTGTCTAGAATTGTTTACATGCCTGCTAGTGTTAGGTGTCTCAAAGTTGTTAATGCCTTTTCACCTTTCATTTGTTTTTTTTTTTCCCGATTTTATAGGGACAACCRTGTATCTAGTGGTAGAATAGCATTTCCCTCGTTGATGGGCTGTGGATCCTGACAAAGATCAATCAAGATGTGCCCACTTCTCCTTCCTGTTAAAGGCTAGACCTCCACCAGCAACAGTCCTGCATACAGTGAGAGGTTTGCACGTTGTGACTAAACTTAAACGGAATGGGGCAGTCCAGGTCCTGGTGTAGGGCCTGGGGCTGAGAGCTCCTTTCTTGAGGTGTTGCATTCATACACTGCAGAAATCGAAGTTCTCATCCTCAGGCCTGTGAAACACATAGACCCTCATGTGCTGGGGGACTGGGGTTAGTTTTCTGGTAGTGCCCAAATACCAGGAAGTCACAGAGCCCCCCCTAAAACRACCAGGGACAGCAATATTAATGGATGTGGAAATCAAGGGCTGTTGCCTGCTCTTGGAATGGCTTTGTTCTACTTAAGGAGCTGACAGCAGGTGATGTTACTCTGCCTTAAAACTGGAAAACAATCAGGAAAAGTTGAGTAACAGGTTGTACCTCTGCTTGCTTGTTGCTGCTGGAACAGCAGCAAACAATTTAACAACTTCAACTGGGGAGTTTGCCCTTCTTCTTTCAAGAGCTTTTAAGTATATTTTTTTAATGCAGTGTAGATATAGAATCTAGAAGCTGAGCTCTCAGTGGCGAGTTTAAATAGTGAGATTTTTCAAAGGTGCAAGGAACAAGTAGGTGGCTGTTTTCTGGTGGAAAACAGTGGGAGCTGGACCCTCGCATCCTCCTTTTACGCCTCTCAAAAGATGTCCCAATACTTGCAAAAATTACCCTGTGGGCGTTTTTAATGGCATCTCTGTGTGCCTCAGAGCCAAAGGCTGCCGTTTTGCTCATCGACTTGCAGGAGGCCCTGATCAAAGTTAATTGAATTAAAATAGGTTTTGGGCTTGTTCTGCTAGTGCAGCCCAGTTGTTCGAGCTGGGTGTACAAGTTGAAGTGTTGGGCAGRTAAGTGGCAGGGTATTCTGCAAGAAGAGCCAGGCATCGCTGCAGTGCCCGTGTGCTCTTGGGCTATGTTCATACTAATCACTTCAAAATAATCCAGGGAGAGACTGCTGAGTGTCTGCTCGCCCAGTTTTTGCCTTCTGCCACAGTTTGCTTGCAGAAGTTGTTTTACAGCTTAGATTAATGAGGAATATGCTGAATATTTTCTGCAGTGTTGTCTTAAGCTGCTGCCAGCCCATTTTGTTTTCTTTTTTCTCGCAGCTGCTTCAGCAAAACTGAGTGGATTTTTCATTTAAAAAAGTAAATGTCATTTCCATTTGTTTATTTTTGGTTGTTATTTTTGATATAAGAGCAGACTTTTTGCTGTGCAAAATTTCAGATTATTCCCTTTTGCTTAACGTAAGAATGGAAAAGTCCAAAGTGCTTTGAGCAGAACAGAAGGCAGTTAAGATGTGAGTGCACCATGTCAGAGGTGACAACGTAGGGGTGGACAGGATTGGCTCTCCAACAGGTAAGCCTTAAAACTTTACCCAGAATCAGGTTAGCACCAACTGGCAACAGAAAAAGGGCTTTACAAGAAAAAAAAGAATAGTCGGAGACTCTTATGTTGTAGGTGCAAAACAAAAACRGGGTTTTCAGATGATAATTGAAAGACTTATTAACAAAAAAAAGTATGTCTGTGAGCTTTTAGGTAAAGGAGAGCTAATTATCAATTAGAGAACCAAATTTGTAGGAGGTATAGCACTTAAATTGCTGAATTCTAACTTTATGAATTTTGGAAGTTTTAGAATTTAGGGTTTCTAGTGAGTGCTACATCCAGCTCCTACATTAAAACAATGTTGAAGGGGAGCAGTTACTAACTTCTGATTTTTATTTACCAGTGTTGCAGAGCACTGAGAGACTATGAACGCCTGAAGGTGGTTATAGTCTGATGAGCTTTATGTGGCTAGGGGATTTTGGCAAAATTTAAATATTGTATCTGTGTTCTCACTTCTTTTGTGCTACAGCCTTGTGTTCTCCGAGCGGATGGGATGTGGGGAGAGTTTCTCACCTCCCTATTCCTCACCTCTACTAAATGAGAGCTGCTGCTTTTCAGAGCAACATTTGAATTCTGTTACTGCCAGGCTGTGGTTTCATGTGTTTTCCTCCAACCATTTCAACTGCTTGGACTGCTGCTTGCCTCTGTATTTCCTAGTATCAAGAGGAATAATGTATTTGCTTTGATATTCCAGCTCTGCTGCATTTGCCCAGTCATAGCTGCAACTTTCTCCTGGTGTTATTACCACACTGCTTAAAAGAAGGTAGGGAAGAATTAGCAGGCACTTGTAAAGATTTTAAGTGAGGAATTCTGTGAAAAATAACATTTTCACCTCACAAAAAGAAAAAAACCTTAGCAGGCGTACAATAGCAGAGTGTTTAAAATGAAGTAAAACCACTAGTTGCAGTGTTTAAAAGGGCCCTTGTCCATCAAAACACTCTCACATGGTTTAAATGGCCCATGGAAAGGAAGCAGGATTGCAGGAAGTGTGTGCTTCGTTCATTCACTCATTCACATTAAGTTTGAGGCTGAAGCTTCTTTAAATAATTTTGTGAGGATAGTTGTTATTTGGAAAGGGCAAGTCTTGAGAAGATGTGTGGTTAAACAGCAAATAAGTRGTTCTAATTGCTTTCCAGAGTGGAAAACTTGAGAAATACAAGTGCACTGTCCATACAGTGGTCGTTGGACAGGTAGGGGATCCCTCATGCTAGAGCGCTAACTGCTAAATGCAGGTGGTTCTTTTTCTAAGTAAAGGTTATATTTAGTTAAATGTTACAAAACTTCTAAATACGCAAGAGMTATTAATTGATAAGACTTTCAGTTGCTAAAGATGTCACAGGGTGACAGGTGACAAACCAAACAGGATGGTTTGACTGTGAAAAGACTCTTATTTTCCAACAGCAAGAAAAAGAGTTGATGCTAAAGATGTAAGAAACCCACACTAGGGAAGAGCAGTGAGAAACTTGAGTCTTGATGCCCAGGCAGCCAGGGAGACTCAGGCTGGATCTCAGGTAGGATTTTACAAGTCCTATAAAAAATTAAACACTAATCCCTGCAAACAAACTGATGTCYTCTAGATGTTCAGTTTGAGTTGAAGATTTTCTGTTGAGCTCTGAAATTGTGGATTATTTTCTGCTAAAATGTATGCTAAAGGAATCTTGAGAKGCAAAATACTAAGGCCTACTGCTTGCAAAAATATGGTGTGACCAGTGTGGAATATAGTGTAATGATATGYTTTATTTCCTCACAATGCAAGCATACAGAGCCCAAGAAATATGCTATACACTAACATACACACTGCCAGGTCAGGGGATGAGGCATAAAGAAACTGTACTGCACTAATACATTGAAATAGTTAAAATCYAATCAATGGTTTTTAAATGAATCAAAATCCATTGATTGTATTTTTAACTATCCTTCTGAAAATTCAGACATTTTGTGTCCAAAGCTCATATTGCATTGTCCCATGATACCTAATAGTCTTCTTGAAACTAACACAAAACCTGCTAATCYGGTGGCAAAATATGGGATAAGTGTATATAATACCACGCAAGACACTGAATTCAGTGAAATCACTGAGTGAAAAGACAAGGTGACCAAGCAACGAAGGCAGGTTGTTTTGAAGACGGAGCTTTAATTTCCAGGTTTGGTATCCTTGCTTGGCTCAAGTCTTAAGAGGTTTATCTGGTATGAACCCAAGCTATTCTCTTTCCCAAAATGCTTAAGAATTCTCCCAAAAGGCTTAAGAATTCTCCGTTTTCTGTGGTAGGATGAGGGAGCCTTAAAATGGACACATATATACATATGTATACGTGTGTATAGATAAATTATGCTTTAATCCTACCCCGCAAACTCTATTCTGAGCAGTAGGAGGGATTATTTTGTCGGTGGAAAACAGACATCAGGCACTTTTATCATCTTCATCCTATAAGAGTTTGTTTAAAACCCAATGGCAGACTCTGGGGAGGCTCAAGCGGAAACTGAAATAGGTGCAAAATGTCTTTTAGCAGCCAGCGGGGTTGTGGGGATGAGAAACAAGTACATAGAGAGAAACAAGTAGAAAAAATAATGGTAGTTTTCCACATAAAACCATTGTTAAGTCATTACCGTATTGAATCTCCAGCTGAATTAACTGGCTGCAGGACGTGGAGACGGACGGTGCTCCTTCTGTTGGCGAGCTGCAGTCGGCTTGGGAGCAGGGCCGGGGTGAGGAAGCCGAGCGCCGGGAGAGGTTTGAAGCCTTTTCCCTCCGTCCTCCCCATTGCTCCTACCCGCGCGCTGGCCCCGCGGAGCGGCCGTCCCCGGCGCCCGTGCTGTGGCACGAGGCRGCCCAGGCTTCCCGCGTGTGTCCCCACGCCGCAAAACCTTGGAAAGGAAACGGCCGTTTGTCTGCTTGGGTCACAGAGAGGCATCTTCAGGCTGCTCTGTCTGCTTTGCATTTTAGCCTTCAGTCATCTTTCATTTATGTTTTATTCYTTTGCAGTATTTTCACTCGCTATAGCAACACATGTTTTAATCTCCTGAAGTCACAGTGTTCATTGAAGAGCTGCAATGAGGGTGATAGYGCAGGGACAGTTATTAAAATTACGATTTTCAGCTCTTTAATCAGYGCTGCTCTAATTGGTTTGTCACTTACAGCCAACCTTAGCAATCACGTGCAGTGAAAGTTGAGCTGAGCGTGCAGCAAGCGATCGTTGCCAGGACTGTGGCTTGTGCGTGTCCGTAATCTGGGCTTTCAGAGAATCACCATTCAGAAGACCTCAAAGCAAACACACTGAAGTGCTTCTGCTTGTCCCCTTAGTGATCAGTATGTTCTCTTATTCCTAAGGTAATAGATTGGCTAAATGTTAACTGACAACTCAGAGACAGGTTTCATCAATTCTGAGAAAGAGAGCAGCTCAGGGGAGAGGAGATGAAGGCCATGGTAAGAACTGGCATGGCATTTGTGTGCACGCATGCTGGTCACGTGCGTGTGGAGGTGGTTGTCCCTTTGAAACTTTTGAACACCCTTGAAACTTTGCCTCTGATTTCACTTGAAACTTATTTACGGGGTGATCTGCATATCTGCGTCCTGCTGTTCCCTGTGATGTTCCTACAAGAACTAATGGAGTTCTTGCAATGTTGCAGTGAGCAGTTCCGTGTCATCGAAATGGGATTCAGGCGCCACGYGGGCACTGGGACGCCCATACCCCCCACACCAACCTGCCCTGTCTGCGCGTGTCTCGCACGGGCAGCTGCTCCCATGTCCTTCC